AGGCCCCGTCGGCGCGGGGTGCCGCCCCTCCTAGCGGGGCGGGCGCTCCATCCCCGAGAAAGGCTGCCGGCGAGGCCGCGCGGGAATCGCCCGCCCCCAGCGCCCCCTCCCTCCCTCAAGCAATCCTCCCTCCCTCCGCCCCGGAAAAGTGGGAGAAGCGCATCGACCGGGCATCTCTACCCCTACCTCATCGGGGAACGTGCGAGCAGAATCCTAAGCGGGTGAGTTGGCACGTGGCCCTGCCAACCTCAGCCGATGGCAGCAGCCCGCAGGAACAACGGAAATGTCATCCTCTGTGTCACGTTTTACTGACGTTGTTCCTCTAATCTCCACAGCTTAATTGTGCCTCCCGGCCCGGGTGAAACTCTTGAAGATGGGGTTTTTAAAAGGCTGCAGCCGGATCCCTTGGCTCCCGAAATCTTGGTGGAAATAAATATGCAATTATAGGGATTGGAATTAAGCGATGGCGAACCTATGACACGCGTGTCAGAGGTGACACGCGAAACTCATTTTTTGGGTTGATTTTTCTTTGTTAAATGGCATTTAAATATATAAAATAAATATCAAAAATATAAATCTTTGTTTTACTATGGTTGCAAATATCAAAAAATTTCTATATGTGACAGGGCACCAGAGTTAAGTTAGGGTTTTTCAAAATGCTGACATGCTGAGCTCAAAAGGTTCGCCATCACTGGATTAGATGATTTGATTCCTTTTCCTTGAGTTTCTATGAGCAGATACAGAGAGGATTAAAGTAAATAAGCACAAACAAACTTGTGGATACGGGTTCGAAAATGAAGATATCTGGCCTGGCTGGAGTGGCTCAGTGGTTGAGCGTTGCCCCATGAACCGGGAGGTCGTGGTTAGATTCCCGGTCAGGGCCCGTGCCCGGGTTGCAGGCTCCATCCCCAGTAGGGGTTCGGGGCTGGATTCCCAGTAGGGGGCCTGCCAGGAGGCAGGTGATGGATGATCCTCATCATTGATGTTTGTATCTCTCCCTCTCCTGAAATCAATAAAAACAGGGGCTTTTTTGGTTTTGTTCTTGTTGTAATCCTCACCTGAGGATATTTTCCCATTGATTTTTACAGAGAGTGGAAGGGAGAGGGAGAGTGACATAGATTGGTTGCCTCCCACAGGGGCCCCAGGCCAGGGCCAGGATGGAGCCTGCAACTGAGGAACCTGCCCTTGACCTGAATCAAATCTGGGACCCTTCAGTCATATGGGCCATTGCTCTATCCCCTGAGCCAAACTGGCCAGGTCTAAAAACATTTTTTTTAAAAAAAATGAAGATTTCTGCCTAAGAGTGGCCATATATTTAATCTTTTTGACAAGTTGAGATGGTTAGTTCCAATTTACAAATTAGAAGAGTGAATTTATGAGGGTCTAGAGCAGTGGTTCTCAACCTTGGCTGCACATTAGAATCACCTGGGAATCTTTTTAAATGCAGCCAAGGTTGAGAACCACTGGTCTAGAGACTAGGACTTAGTGATGGCGAACCTTTTGAGCTCAGCATGTCAGCATTTTGAAAAACCCTAACTTAACTCTGGTGCCGTGTCACATATAGAATTTTTTTATATTTGCAACCATAGTAAAATAAAGACATATTTTTGATATTTATTTTATATATTTAAATGCCATTTAACAAAGAAAAATCAACCAAAAAAATGAGTTCGCGTGTCACCTCTGACACGCGTGTCATAGGTTCGCCATCACTGGACTAGGTCTTACTCATTTTTGTAGCCTCAGCCCCAAATTGTTAAGTGGATGAATGATTCCCATGTGGATTTTCAGGTGCTCAAGGTCACTGGGATAGTCAGGGCTGCAATCCGGCTCATTTTACCCACATCCACAGTGCTTTTTCTGGTTGCCACATAGGTACCAACCAACAGCTGGATAGTAATAATCACAGACCTTACTCCAGAATCCCTTCAACTATCTCCCAG